ACATGTGTATGCATGACCATGGGGACACACATATCTATTGCACAGGCACAGTGGCATCTGCATGGGAAGCTGGACTCCTGAAGAAAGCAGACTCATCAGCCATACTACAGTGACTTTGTTCAGTTCCTTCCATCACTGGTCTTCAAGACTCTCCATTTTTGGTCAGGCTCCAATTTTCCCTAGTGAGGTTGTCTCACACATTTTTTTATACAGTTAGATTGGAATATCACAATCTATATTCCATTCAGAAATCCTTTAAACTTTTAATTTTTTTTCCAAAACTGTATTCATTAAGGTTCACTCTTGGTGTTGTATGTACCATGGACTTTATTTTATTTTTTTTAATTATTTATTTATTTATTTTGGCGGAACCAGGGATTGAACTCAGGCCCTTGGGCTTGCTAGGCAAGTGCTTATTCCACTGAGCCATCTCCCCGGCCCCAATGTACCATGGACTTTAACAAATGTGTAGTCGCAGCTACCCACTACTGTAGTGTCACACAAAATAATTTCACCTCTCTAAAGAAATTCCCAGACCATGCCTGGTGGCATATACCTGTAATCCTAGCACTCAGGAGGCTGAGGCAGGAGGATGTTGTAAATTCAAGGCCAGCCTGGGCTGCACAGTGAGTTCAAGACCAGCCTGAACTATATAGAGAAACATCCCAAAAAGACAAAAGACAGAAAAAAAAAAAAAAAAAAAGGAAGGAAGAATAAAAGGAATTCCCAGCTTTACCTATTCAGCTTTACCTGCCAGTTTTGGCTGTGACTATCCAGCAATCTCTCTGTCTCTCTGTCTCTCTGTCTCTGTCTCTGTCTCTCTCTGTCTCTCTCTCTCTCTCTCATTTTGCTTTGTAATCAGTATATTAAGGAGACATACATACATTTCAGTAGTTGCTTAAATTCTGATACTCAGATTTAAGCATGTGAACATATGCCCTTTTGAAACATATAAGTAAAGCTAGCCATCGTAATTTGCTATAGTAGTCCCATTAAATTACAGTTACTTTGGAGCATTAAGTCAAATGGGTTGAAGTCTGTAACATTCCTAAGGAATACTTTCCTATATTACACCCACAGACTACCTCTCCGTGTAGTCTCTCTCTCTCTTTCTCTTTTTTTGTTTTGTGGTACCAGGAATTGAACTCAGGACCCTGAGTTTGCCAGGCGAGCACTTATTCTACTGAATTATCTCCCTGGCCCTTTGTGTAGTCTCCTCACTTTCATTTCAAAATTACCTAGCTCTGAAGTTGCAACTCAAGGGCTTATTATGGTCCAAACATAAGGGAAAAACAATATAAACAGGACCAGTCAACATAGTTTTACACACACACACACACACACACACACACACACACAGCACAGCAGAAGGGACTGCAATTCTAGAATGCAAGCTTACTTTAAGAAGCCACATTATGATAATATCATTTCTATCACTGATATCACAGT